CAACTAAGTAAAATCAAATTAAGGACTTTTAGTTGCAGGGATTTCGGTTAAATTTAACTATTGGACGGGTGGAAAATGGGTGAAAAAGTGATTCTGATTTCTGATCATTCAGCTTATTTAATGATGCGCATTCCTTTCCGTCTTCCTCAGAGATCGCTGCCTGAGGTGGAGCCCCAGAAGCTGACCAGCGAGCACGTCCAGCAGCTGATCGAGCTGTATCAGGCGCATCCGCGCCTCTGGGATCAGTCGCATCCCGAGTTCCGGGACGTGGACCGGGGCCGCGAATCGTGGCAGCAAATAACAGACGCCTGGAGCGCCCACTGCGGCCGGAGCTTCAGTGTGACAGACGTGCGGATACGCATCTCGACGCTGTGCCAGCGATTCCTGAAGCAGCGGGAGCGCGTGGCCGCCGAGGGCGAGCTGGAGGAGAGCGTCAAGTTCGTGCACTATGACCAGCTCAGATTTCTGTGCGCGCAGCAGTCGCTGCTGAAGCGCCAGGAGCACTACGCGCACGAGAACCGCAAGCTGCTGGAGCTCTACGAGCACTATCCGATCCTCTGGCACAATGCCCACAAGCGGCTGCGCTGCGCCGAGACGGTGCGCCAGCGGCACGAGGCGCATCGCGGACTCCAGCTGGCGCTGCGCATGTGCGGCGTCAAGCTCTCCGGGCTGGCCATACAGCGGCGGCTGCAGTCGCTGCGGAAAAGATATCGGCTGGAGAAGATTCGGTATCTGCACAGCGTCGTGGAGGGCAAGCAGGCGGAGTTTGTGTCCGGCTTCGAGCACTATGCGGAAATGGAGTTCCTGCACAAGCACATCGATCCGTATGTGTGCGCCAGCTGTGGCAAGATCTTCGAGAATCTGGTCAGTCACCAGGCGCATGTGCAGGGCAACTGCGAGGAGCAGGCGTTGGCTGGCATGGAAACGGCCCACGAAACGGAGGCGACTGTGGGTGAGCTGATGGCGCTCATGGAGATGGAGCAGGAGGTGGAGGTGGAACAGGAGGTGAAGGTGGAGGCGGAGGTGGAGGTGGAACCAAAGGAGCAGACAGATGTGCTGCCAGAGGAGCACACGGACCTATTGGAGCCGGAGCCGGAGCCGGAGCAGGCACAGACGGAGGCGGAGATCGTGACGGAAGTGGGGCCACAAGCCCAACCGGCGGATGAGATAACCACGAGGCTGCACAGTCTAGCCGCCGCCTGTGCCGCAGACGTGCAGCCAGCAGCCGGAGGCGCCGGCGAGGATCTGACGGAGACCTCCTCCGAGGGGAGCCTGTCGCCGGGCGTACAGCTGCGCATGCGGCTCAGCCTGGACCTGACGCACCGGCTCATCGAACTGTACCAGGAGCAGCCGCATCTCTGGGATCCCAATCATCTGGACTATCACGATCGCCAGCTGCGACGCCAAGCCTGGCACGGCATTGCCGCCGAGCTGAACGCCTACGCCGGCTGCCCGGGCCGCTTCAGCTGGCAGATGCTGCACCGCAAGCTCACGGACTACATCAAGTACTATCGCAGGGAACGGCAGCGGGAGGCTCTGGCCGTCGAGGGCAGCGGCGAGGGCACACGCTGGGGCTTCTACGAGGCATTCAGCTTCCTGGACGACGTGGTGCCCATCAATTGTGTGCTCCAGAAGTCGCTGCAGCAGCGCGACAGCAATCTGAAGATCATACAGGTCTACCAGAGCTACGAGCAGCTCTGGTGCACCCAGCATCCGGACTACACCAAGCGCAAGCAGCGCTTGCGCCACCTGGAATCGCTGTGCACCCGCCTCCAGGAGGAGTGCAATCTGCAGATCAGCGTGGAGCGCCTCAAGAGCCGCCTCATCGAGTTCCGCTGCCAGTATCGACAGTGCAAGGAGGCACGCCAGGCGGCCCTGAGACGCGGCGAGGATTGGCAGCCCAGCTACGAGTACTATGCGCCGCTGCAGTTTCTGGAGCTGCACATCTCCCCCTTCGGCTGTGGCCACTGCTCGGCCAGCTTCAAGCGACGCAGCGACTATTTGCGCCATCAGCGCAATGTGCACGCGGAGCAGCTGCAGCAGGAACAGGAACAGGAGCAGGAGCAGGGGCAGCAGTCACAGACGCTGCCGCGTCAGCGTCGTCGCGGCAGATCACACCAGAACCAGAACGTTGGCCAAAATCCGCTCGAGCACATCTGCCACATCTGCGCGATGAAGTTCTCGCTGCGCAGCAGCCTCCAGGCACATCTGCGTCGGCATCTGGGCCAGCGCACGCACGCGTGCAGCGACTGTCCCAAGAAGTTCTTCAACTCGACAGCGCTGCAGGTGCATCGGCGCAGCCACACCAAGGAGCTGCCCTACGTGTGCGAGCACTGTGCCCGGGGATTCGTGAATGCCAGCAAACTGAATCAGCATGTCAAGCGGCACACGGAGAAGCGCGATCATCCCTGCGGTCGCTGCGACAAGGCCTTCTATACGGCGCACGAGCGGGATCGCCATATGCGCGCCCATCTCAATATCCGGGACAAAGTGTGCACGTATTGCGCCCGTGCCTTTGTCGTGGGCAGCGCCTACTACGCCCACCTCAACCTGCATCGGGGCGAGAAGCGCTACAGCTGCTCCGGCTGTGGCCAGAGATTCGCCCAGTATGCGGGTCTCTACAAGCATCGCAAGCGCTGCTCGGCCATCCAGCTGAAGGAACTGAAGGAGAAGTGAATGCCCGTAACACTCACTCGCATTCACTTTTCCATATTCACTTCATTCCACCCATTCCATTCACATTCCATTTAGTTATATCCTTTATTCACAATTAGTGCAATTTTAGTTTTAGTTCCTGTTTAATTACTCATTCGTTTATTCACTCGCTTATTCATTTGCAATGAATACCTTTAACACTCACTCGCATTCACTTGGCCATATTCACCTCATTCAACCCCTGTTTAATTACTCATTCCTCTATTCGTCATTCACTTGCTTATTCATCTCCATTCATTTGCAAAATGAGGAAGCAATTAATATCTTTAACACTCACGCGCATTCACTTGGCCATATTCACTCATTCAACCCATTCCATTCACATTCCATTTAGTTGTATCTTTTATTCACTATTAGTGGAATTTTAGTTTTAGTTCCTGTTTAATTACTCATTCGTTTATTCACTCGCTTATTCATTTGCAATGAATACCTTTCACACTCACTCGCATTCACTTGGCCATATTCAACCCCTGTTTAATTACTCATTCGTCATTCACTCGCTCATTCATTTGCGTTCATTTGCAAAATGAGGAAGCAATTAATATCTTTAACACTCACTCGCATTCACTTGGCCATATTCACTCATTCAACCCATTCCATTCACATTCCATTTAGTTGTATCTTTTATTCACTATTAGTGCAATTTTAGTTGTAGTTCTTGTCTAATAACTCATTCATTTAATCGTTTATTCACTCGCTTATTCATTTGCATTCATTCATTCAATATCATACCAATTTTTATAAGAAGAAATCTGCAGCTCTTTGTTTTTTATTTATTCATTCCTTTCTACTCATTTTCAAAATTTGTAAGCTATTCATATAGTGTTATATGAATCAATATTATTCATCACAAATAATTGGTATATTCATATTAAAAATCAGCGAACTCAAGGTCAAGTGAATGCATTAGCACTCGCTTGCATTCACTTGCCCACATTCATTCTGTCATTCATTCAATTCATTTGGCATTTAGCTGCAATAAATGATTTTTTTAATGTTATTTCAGTTATTCGTTTTTTGTTGCAGTTGACGTTTTGATTACCCTTTTGATTCATTTGTTTATTCATTTGTACTCATTTGAAAGAGAAATGGTTTAATTCTAAGAATCAATCTAAACATTCACAGATGTTTTACTTGGGTTTCCTTGCATTCACTTATTCGTTAAATTTGTGAGTTATTTGTTCACTTGTTTTATTATTTATTCATTTGTATTCGCTTTTAAAACATTTGATTCATGATAGGAATTAATAAATTATTCACATTATATATATACTTATGATTTGTAGATATTTCCTTTCCCTGGCATACAAATATTCGTGCACTCAACCTTATTATTCATTCATTCACAAAGTAATTCAGAAGGTAATTTTTGAGTTCCAATACTCGATTCTGAGCCAAGCTCTAGTTATCAATATCAAATCATATTTTAGATATTAATGCTGGCATTATGAATGCATTCGCTAAAAAGGGCTACCCAAAATTCCCTTGCATAGAAGCCGAGTCTGTATTCACATTCACTTCGATAGAACTTGTGGCAACTTTTTTAAAACCCAAAATATGTTCAATTATTCGAAATATATTTTATAAAGTTTTTCAAAATGTTTTATTAAAATAATATTCCTTTCTACATTTACTATGTTCTTGAGATTCTTAATCGGATATCCATGGACTTTTCTCGAGAAACGAATGTATATTTTAAGCGCAGATGCATTTGAAGATGCTCACTGTTTTATTCCTCTCCCACTCTTGTTCGAGCAAAACGTTAACGAATGCGACGCAAAGCAGATGATAGAATGAAATATTGTTTTCATTCGTAATTCATTTTACGAGCAGAGAGAGGAAAAGCTACATGAACGTTTCTTGTCTTATTTCTTTTTGTTGCATTCGTAAACGTTTTACTGGCAGCATAAATCTACTATTCCCTTTAGAAGACATGGAAGCAGCAGCAAACATGGAAACGATTTAATTGTTTAGTTCTTTGTGTCGCATTCGTAAACGTTTAACTGGCAAACTATATATTTAGATATCTTATACACTCCCAAATTGGTTACCTATAAACTATTTTACTAGAAGTTTTCGTATCTCTATCTCTCTTTTCCTCATTCTCTAGCTTCTTCTCGATAGAGGGAGCACTGCTTTTGCAATTCTTCTTTACACAACATTCTTAAACGTTTTATGGGCCAGGCAATTTTGGTAATTGAATGAAGCAAGATTTAAAATATTTTCCCTGTTATTATGACTCTTGCGAGGCTGAAACAAGAATGCATTTTTTCTGTTTGTTGTATATTTGCTTTAATTCTTAATCAGTTACGACTATGGTTGCTATTGTACTTAAAATTGTAAGATTGAAAATGTAAATTTTTGTTGTAGTTAAGGGGCGTGTGTTAAAAAAAAATTGCTATAAAAATAATTGCCAATTTGGCCAACTCAATTGGACTTGGCGAATCGCTTGAGCTGTCGCAGGCGATAAATATCATTGGTGGGCGGCGCCGAGGTCTGCAGCTCATCATCGCTGTCATCGCCGCCGGGCAGCAGGCGACGTCGTCTTGGCGCCATGGACGTAACACTGTGCTGCACACCCGTATACGTGCTGGTGTCCACGATCCAGTGCACCGACTTGGCCAGATCGAATATCTTGGGCGTCAGATCGTTGTCGCCATTCGGTTGTGGCGCAGCTGTAAAACGGAACACAAAAAATATATATGAGCAGCTGTGTCTTGGCTGGGGCTTGGGCGACGACTTACACTCTGGCAAGTTAAGACGCATAAAGATGTCAAAGAGCAGCTCCACGCTGACAAAGGGGCCGCGAAAGCTATTCGGCGGCGGCAGCGCGGCGCAGAGTGCAGCCAGTGCCGGTGGCTGTGGAAAGACGCCGCCGGCCAGCGGATGGGCGCCCGGATGGGCGCATGAGCGCGGCTTAAACGGTATCATCTGCGAGAAGTCCGGACGTGGCAGCGGCTGTGTTGCCTCCCCATCCGTCTCGTTCTCGTTGTTATTGTTGTGACTATTCGCACCGCCGCTGGCGCCGCCCACCTTGTTCAGTATGATGCCCACGTTCTGCAAATGGCATAAGCAATTAATCCTAGCTAAGGTATACTTGTTGTTGGCAACCTCACCTCGGCATAGCCAATGGACTTGAGCTCGGTGCTGGTGCAGGGATATAGATCCAGGAACTTGTAGCGATCCACTAGCTGTGCGGTCTCCTTGCCCTCGTACTCTTTGAGCTGCAAATTGAATAGTATTAGGTTCAGAATTTATATATTATTGAGGGAAATAATGATACTAGTGTGCTTTAACATTTTCCTATTACAATTAGATTTGCTTACTACAAACATTATTTTGTGATTGTAGCTAAATATCAGAATCCTGACATTTCGCTGAGATCGAAGGGCTCAAATTTGTTATACTCACATTTTCAAAGACCGCACTGCGCCTTCGCTCCACTTTGACAATGCTCGACAGGTCGCCAATGTTGGACTCGAACTCAAGGAAGCGATTCCAGACCTCCACGCTTTTGTGCGGCGAGAGGCCACCTGAGCTTAAGACGCGCTCAAAGAGCACCCGCGTATTGTTGTCCTCGTTCAAGTGCGAGAGGTAGTCGATATAGCACATGACGTACTCGGGACTGCCGCCGAAACGCTTTAGGCCCAGTTCGAAAATACGAAATGCAATTTCCTTGTCCTTGGAACAGTAATACTCCATTAAAGCGGCCGCCACAAAGATGTGATAACGCGAACGCACATCCTCGCGCGCCTTCTTGAAAATGCCACGCGCGGACTTGATGCCCTCAGCGCGGCGAGCGAACTTCATGTACTGCACGTATACCTGGAGGGCGACAGGTGAGTGTTTACAAAAATTAATATTAAATATATAATAGTGTTAAAATGGTTGACATTTGCGATATTTAAGGCAATGTCGCGAAGGACTCTAGTTGTAGAAATCTTAGCTAATGGCAACTAGTTTAAAACTCTAACTGAATATTTCATGCACATTGTTTTTCGCCCATATTCCACTGCTGTAAGTGAAATGACTTTTCACATAAAGCTGAATTATACAAACACAAGCTTTTTCAACCCATTTTAGATAGATCGACAGATCTATGAAAAGTTCTTATGATTCTATGAAAACTAAAAATGTTCACATATTTCTCAAGTCTGAATTTATATTGAGTGTAAGCCTTAACGAGGTGCTCCGATCTAAATGCTAACTATCAAATATTTACAATGTAAAATAAATGCATATTATTAACGATGTGGTAAATTCATGATGTCGCTTAACATAAAGCACGTTCAAAGATTAAATATAAAACAGTATAAAAGTCGAACACAGAAACAGCTAGTCTATGCCCAACTATGCCAACACCTATTCTAGATACATGTTTATATGTATATAACTTATAATTATAAACGTATAAAGCGTATAGTCAGCTATCGGGAGGCGTCCAAGCTGGAAGTTAATGTTTGCTTACCAGCGTGGGATCTATGTCTGGCAGGGTGAGCAGCTTGTTGTACATGCTGTGGACCTTCTCGTACTTGAGGCGGCCCTCCTCGAAGTCCGCGTAGGCGAAGTAGAGCAGCGCATTGCGGTTGAGTACACCGTTGATGGAGCGTTCCAGTATGTTGGCGCATTCGTCTGCAAAGATTTTAGCTGCTTGCACATCCTGCAGAAAGAGGGGTTCGAGAAATGTTTAATTGATTAATATGTCATAAGCAGATGTGTGTTGGTTATTTTGTACAGTTTTTCTGGGCTGGGGCGGGACGGGTATGGTCGAGTAAAACGCGTGCGGCCAGTGCCAAGGGCAATGCGGCAAGTGCGGGCAAGTGAGGAGGTTAACATTTCCGGCTGTCACGTGCCGCTTTACCCAAGGGGCGACACTTCACAAGTAGCAACAACAAGAGACAGAATTTTGATTTTGCTGGCATTGATATATAAGTTTCTATTTGCAACATTGCGACAAATTGCGGCAGCTGTTGATTTTGGTTTGTGTGTTTTTGAATACGACTACGCACGCCTTTCTCGGTGAGAACGCGCGCACTGGTGTCCAGGAACTGCGATGCCTGATGCCAAACGGCCGGATGATGCGTCAACACCAGCAGGCACTGCTCCGTGGCAAACATGACGCGACGTGTGACCAGCGCCGTGTCCTCTGTGCGCAATGGATTCGATTTTTCGTAGGTTATGAAACGTTTCCACAGCTCCACCTGCTTGGTCTCCTCTTTGGTCAGCGTGGGCGGCACAGCGGGCAGGTTTCGATTGAGGCCCTTTGTATGATACTCCAGCTCCTTGGCCACGCGACGTGCATTCATATAATCCCTATGCAAGCACATGGAATATAAGAGATTGGGTATAAGCATTACGACTTAGGCCTTGGCAAGACATATATATTAGGGAGCTGAAAGCATCGACACGCACTTGGAACGTTCCAGACTCATTTTCTCCGATATTATGGGATTTATGTTCTGCTCAAAGGCAATATAATCCTTCCACAGCTGCTCAATGCCCACTATGGGCGTCACCACCGCCTTCTGATAGACACGCCGGACGGCTGTAATCTTTTGATTCTCCGCATAGTTGCCCACTGCTTCGACGCCGCGCAAGAAATAAATATAATCCTGCCAGATGCTAAACGAATGCAAATCCATGCCAATCTTCTCCAGCGCAAAGTCATACGCTTGGGCCATCTTCTCTCTGTCAAGCAATACAGCAGGGATTAGCTGTTGAATATTGAATTCGCAATGCTGCGTGAACACTTACTTGTGCGTGCTGAGGCCCGCCTTGGTCTCCTTTACGTAGGTCAGGTAGAGCTTCCACAGATCAATATTGAGGATTTTGACCAGACAACGCTGAAATAGCTTCTCGACGCGCTCATAGTAACGGCTACGCATCTCCATCTCAATGTAGAGCTTCCAGTAGCGTGCCGTTGTCGGAAACACATTCACCAGGGACTCGTACAGGCTGCGCACCTCGTGAATGGGCCGTGTCTGCGCCTCACGCAGCATCACGGACCACGACTCGATGTCATATGGACGCAGCTCGACGACCTGTTGGGCGCGCACCAAGCGCTCCATGCCCCATTCCTGCATAGATGGGTGCTGTATTAGTCGAACGACTTATTTATTATATATTTCGTTGGCACTTACTATATCAATTTTGATCAGATCCCTTGCGGATGTCATTGCGGTAGTTGTCGTTGCCGGCGTATTGGTATTTATTTTATTTAATGCGGCCACGGTTGCTTTTGATTAGCGTACACACTGCAGCAATTTGTTAATGTAAAATTAAATAAATTATTTCAATATTTCATATTTCCCCTAAAGAAATATGACAAAATTGTCTACAATAAATAAAATGCGGCTTTATAAAACAACAGTGTTGTGAAGTGCAGTTTTTAACTAGTTCAGGCTGAGAACTACAATTTGCAGCACTAACAAAATATTTTGATTAAATTATCGGAATGTGGCGAAATATAAAAAAAAAACCCTTTATTTTTAATCAAAAACACGCTCAATATAAGACACTTATGGAATACATTTCTTAACGGAGCAAACAATCACAACATATGTTCTATATATTTTTAAAATTGTGTGAACTTCAAAAACGCTGATAGGTTCACGAACTGTTCATTTAGCTCGCGGAGCAGAACAAAAGTGCGCAATATATCGATAGCTGCAGCACAACTCACGATTGTTTTTCAAGCCCGATAGTTTCTGATAGTTCACAATTTGAAAAAAAGAAATTGCAAAGTTATTACAAGATAATAATCTATATATACAGTATATATGCTGCAATGTGTAAAATATATTTGGCGCAGTCAAGACATTTTACTTAACGTGCTAGTTCCAGGTGCAACAATATAATCGCGCTCGGACAGCAGCTTGTTGCATTCGCTATATGGCGGTTACAATAGCTAAGCGATGGAAACTATGCTCAGCAAATATATCGATTGGCATACAGCCTGGAAGTATATCGATTTGCAGCGATGCATCGACAAGAATATATCAAATAACAAAACCAAACGAAACAATCAAGCGTGGCAATCAAACGAAACGAAACGCATTAAACAGCAGGCAGACAAGTATATTGCAAAAGAACATTAATAAGAATACCAACAAAAATAAAACGTGCATTCGGCGTTGCTGTCTCAGGCAAAGCATGTGATAAAAGAGAAAAAAAGCAAATAAATAAAGTAAGAAACTTGTGCCCCAATGGCAAGTGACAGTTTTAACTGCCAAAAGGAGTGAGAGTGAAAAAGCAGCGACACACACACGCGCGCGGGCACACACGGATAGGACCAGCTGTTGTGTTGAACAACAGCAAAAGAGGTTAATATTAGCGGTACATTTGTTTGCTTGATCAACAATCAATACGCATTTTATTTGTTTTGCCATTATTTGCGCTGCATGTGTTGACATACATGGCTAATTTTATGTGCTTGTTTTTTTTTTTTTTTGTTTTTTGTTTGCCATTTTTAAATGAATATGACTTAATTATTCAGTGGCTGCCATTTAGCATCTGTGCCAAGTCTGAAGCGAGTGGCGGCCGCTGCCCGTTTCCTGAAGTATTTGTCTGTGCGTAATTGTTGTTGTTGTTGTTGTTTGTGTTTGATGGTGTTGGTGTTGGTGTGGCTGCTTCCTGCGTAGCGGCGGCAGTTTATTGACCGTGCTATGTAGAAAAATGACACTTAAATTGTATACACTGTGTGTGTGTGTGTGTGTGTGTGTGTAAGTGATAAGGCATTATAAGTGTGTCACACAGACATGCGGCGACAACAACAAGTAAAACACGGCGGCTTTTGTGTCAAAGTGGAGCGAAAACCTTTTGCTGATTGTGATTGTATTTGCTTATAATGTAATGCAAGCCAGAGTGTCCGTGAGTGTTTGCTTGTGTGCGTTGTTTGTGTGAAAGCGAAAAGCTCACGTATGTGTGTCAAATACACACAAACACACACACACACATACGCACACATGCCAGCTAGCTGTCAGTGTCATTTGACGAAACTCTCGCCTGCTCGCTCGCTCACGCGCTCTTGCCCGCTAGCCCCGTCTCGCTCTAATGCTCGCTCCTTGCACATGATGACAACAACTCTTAACGGTTGTTTTTAATTGTGTGCATAGTTTTAAAGCCATTTAAGTGGGCCGTCGCTGCGCGCATTGCCTACATTCTGGCGCACCGCACGCAAACATAGATGCATATGCATGCATGTGTGCATGTGTGCATGTGTATGTGTGTATATGTATGTGCATGTGCTCCCCCTCCGCCAGTCGCTTGTCTTTGAGCTGCTTGCGAGCAAATAAGCATGGCAATTACTTGAAATGGATACTGCTACGCACACACACACACAACACACACGCACGCACACACACACACATGCAGCGGCTCCCTGCGTATTTGTGCTAATGAGGTTGATTTTCTTGTGAAATTTTTATTAACTATTTATACCCACATCAAATGCAGGACTTGCCATGGGGCAGGCAACAGTCTCCCCTCCCTCTTCCCATTCCCCCTTCTCGTGTCCATTGTTTCCATCTCCTTTGACAGGGGGTAGGGGGGACAGCTCAAATTGCAGTTTTAATGGGTCTTCTGCAGCAATTACTCATAAAATTCCCGCTAAGTAAAATGGCGCTGATTTGCGGTAAATTAATGAGCAGGTAGACGGTTATGCAGGGAATGGGCACACCTGGCGCGTCGCCTGATTGATTAACAAATCGCCACCGAAACTGGCAAACGGCAGTCGAACAAAGGACGTGCCACATTCAGCGGCAACATTGTTCATTTCCATTTGATATATTCCATGTCCTTCATTTGCGTTCGGCTGTTAGATATTCGATTGCATGTCCTTATATCATCGTCAGAACTCGAAATTAATCATCCGTTCGCCCCACAATTCCATCTACTATACATCTTGACGGATGTGCCTGCATATCAATCTCAATTGGCATATTGGCATATCAATAATGCAACAAATTATGAACAGCTTTAGGTAATGCCTTTTTAATGCTTATCCAACTCGACAACGTTAAGCCCTACAGCACTTGCCTAACATAAGTGGCAAAGCGCTTGTCAAGGTCGCGCTGTTAAAGTGACGCAGTTAATGTTAATGTTAAAGTGGCTCATTTATCATAAACAGAATAAACTGCGCAGCGCTGCTCAAGGTCGGGCTATTAAAGAGACGCGTTTAATGTTAATGTAACATTAGTTGCTCATTAGAGCTCTTAAGAAAGTCCTCATGCTAAAGTGACGCTGTTAATGCTTAAATAACATCCACACGATGCTTAAGCTTGTTAAGGAACTACTTAAACAAGCATTCATATTAACAGGACAACTTTAAGCCACATTCACAGTTAGTTTATGCAATCATATGAGAGCTTTAAAGTGGATGTTTAAGTGACGCAGCGTAACATGGCGTTAACATGACTGTTAAAGTCGAACTGTTAAGTTATTGCTGTTATCGTAAATGTGATTAATAACTCATAACATGGCGTTAACATGACTGTTAAGTTCGCACTGTTAAATTAACGCTGTTATCGTAATTGCGAATAACGACTCTTGAGATAACGTAGCTGTTAAGTGTGCGCTGTTAATGTGACGCTGTTAATGCGACACTGAAGCGCACATACTCAATGCTGAAAGGAAGCAAAATATATCCATTAATAAAAACTTATCAGTACGCACATTTCTATAAATGTTGACACAAAGCCTAATGAAGACCCGAAACCGAACGTTCTTTCCAATTATAACGTATGCACACACATATGCTTATGTATATATATATATATATATATATATATATTTATATATATATATATATATGTGGAATCTGCCTTTAAATTGTAATTAGAGACTGTTTTGAAATGCGAAATGGAATTTTATTTGCCTGTTATCAGCCGGCAGCTCAATTAAGTCGAGGCCAATTGATTGAAGCGCCTGGGCTATGCACTCGATTGTTCCCGGAACGTTCCCAGATCGGGGACAACGCGTGTTTCGTAATGATTTATAGCGCAACTCAAGTGCGGGGTTAGCCAACATTATTTGCTTTTATAGCAGTTATTTGTTGACAATATTTGTTTTGCATTTGAATAACATTGTTTGGCTTATTGTTGCTGACGCGCCAACAGAAACATGCAAAGCAATTGTATTTATGGATGGGATGTACCAGTTACAATAGTTAACGACATGAAAACGACTAATTTGACTATTGGCAAAGGCACCGGCTGAGCACACCTACCTGAACAACTGTTCTCATACCCTGTACTCAAAGCAAAGAAATCTCTTCAAGCAGAAAGTTTGTGCTCTATTTGACATTGAATGGCATCCATTCAGTTCATATTCCGACTATGCAAATTGAGAATTAAAATCAAAAATAATTGCAAAGCTATTGAGCCATATATAGTATTCTTGATTCAGACAGATCTGACTGTTATTTGCAGCTCAAACTGGAAATGTGCATAATTGTATATCAAAAGACCTATGGACCTATGGACGTCTATTTACTTCTCACAATCTATTTATGTCGCAATTATTTGATAAACTAAATGTACGAAGTATCAACTAGTCGAGTATTTGCATGGAATATTGAAAGGGAACTGGGGCTCTTGGGGTTCTTGACATCGGAGGGGTCCTCTACAAATCGCCGTCTGACGTGATAACAAATAACCGCAAATTGTTGCCAGACAGAAATATTGGGATTTTGTTTTTTTGTTGTATCCAATCAATGCAAATACAAATGTTTGTACATAATTTCCACCTGGCTAGAAGCTAGAGAGGCCATGATTAGTTGCCCCGGGTTGGGAGTCCATCAATGTCAAGTCTGTAGTTTGCTTTGTGGGCTACATCCAAACGGTTCAGCTGGGCAGCTGGCGCGCGCGTCCTTTAGTCCAGATATACACATCATTATATATATATATATATAGTCCATGTCCGATCTGGCAGTTGTGGGCGAGCCGCTGCGCGTGGGCGACAAGTTTGTGCCGCAGCTGAGCATGCGAAGGATCTTTAACACAAAATGCTTTCGCGTCGAGCGCCACCAGCACGAGGTGGCCAATCATTATCGCGACTTTAAGCTGCAGCAGTCGTCGCTGCCGCCGCGTCGCAGCTGCCACCTGGCGCGTCAGCCGCGTCGGATACGCAGTCGCCTCCAGCGTCCAAGCTTTGCCTCGCCCTGTGCTCAATTCCGTGGCGAGTTGCCCGCCCATGTGCACTATTTTCCAAGGTACACAACACTAATTTTAATGGCTGTGCGTATGTGCGTGTGGGTGTGTGTGGGGTGTGTGTGTGGATGACAGTTGGTGTCATAAATGTATATAGGCCCCATATTGCCCCACCCTGGAGCTATCGCTTGGCATACGGCAATGCGGTTGACGTGAAATTTCCGACACATCTTCAGCTCGAGTTTCGTGCCCTTTGCCAGGCCCTCCGTTCCATCCCTCCCGCTTCAACCAACAGCTCGTCTGACGTCAGTGTTGATAAGCGTTGGCACATGGTGTGGTGTGTTGGTTAGTGTCGGCAGAAGGCGGTGCCCGCATTCTCCATTGGGTTTATCCACATTTAAATGCTGATAGTGCAGCAAAATATATACTCGGAATATCCCAAAATTAAGCGTTAACTATTTGTCCACTTATGCTGGCATCATAAAATAGTCCATAGTCGGGTTCAAACTGGGAATCTATACAGTTTAGTCTCGAGATATCGACATATCGAGATATCGACTTTCTATACGATTCTCATAAACAAAAATAACTGTCTAACAAGTGAACTCCGCATCGTAAAATACTTCTTTAAAATCATATCGTTATATTATATTCTACACCAAAGTATTCCCTTCCATTTTATGCCATTCTATCTCTTATTGACTATTCTAACAATTTCAAACAGTTAAGCTCAATCTTAAGTCCACAAATCCTGTAATCCAATCTAATAATCAGTACCAGATTGATCCAAAAAGAAAACTTCCTAGAACAGAACATTTCGTGAGTTGAGAAAAATAAACCCTGCAAAATGTATATGCATAAGTGTTTATAAAAGCGGAGCTAGCATCGATTTTTGAGTAAATATTTTCTTGCATTTTCGACTTGGCAGCTGTTTAATATTAACTTTTGGCTATCAAAGCGCTCCGAACCGAATTTCGAGACTAAGCTAATAAATTAGGCAGCCAAGTAGCCCAGCTCTCAGCCTGCAAATAATGAAGTACAGTCCCATCCATCATCTTGTTTTACTTTCATTAGTTTTCCTATTGATTTTATCAAACAAGCAACACGGTTAACATTGAGTTCAGGCCCCGGGTAACCTTTGCCAAAGGTAATGCCACCGAGGGGGGGCCGCATCAACGCAAAGGAATACAAGAACAAGAAAGGAAAAGAGAAAAGGAGCCACTTCCGCGTCGCACTTAACCTCACTTGTTGACGTTGCCCATAAACGATAACGATAACGATAAGTAAATAGCTGTACAGTGGCATTTTGTGTGGTTGTGTGGAAATCGTTGTTTGATTTTATTAGCCCATCCCCCACCCAACCCACAGGTGGAGGGGGGGCGTGGGGGGTTGGTCATTTTGTTATTTATTTCATTTGTGTTTGCCTGTTTGTTCAGTCGTACGTGAATACGTTTAGTGCTTGGCATTGTTGTAATTAATGTTTTCGGCCGCCCCCCTTCCCCCTTGCCCCTTCCTACGCCCCTTTTATGGCCGTGCCTAATTACAGATTCGGCGATACGTATGCGCCCCGTGGCCGGCAAACGATTTGCTCGGCTGAGCCACCGGACGACACCTACAACGACACGCTGAGACGCATCAGGTGCGCCCACAGCAGCGACCAGCTGAAGGCGCTCGTCGAGCGGCATTTGAACTGACGCAGTGGCGTCGGCGGCAGCGGCGCCGGCAAGTGGGGGGCAATTGGAACGGGCACGAGGACGTGCCATGATGGCAACCACAAATGGCAACAACGTGACCAAGACGGCGTTCGCAGCGGCAGCAGCGACAGCAGCAGAAAATATGAGCAGCGTGTTCTAAATATTAATACGGCAAAGGTGGAAAGCCTACAACGGCAGCAGCAGCAGCAGCAGCGACATCGTCGCATCGATCTGTGTACATATTTGCAACTGGCCAGTGGCTACTACGAACGGGGGTTGCATGCCAACATCAAGTACCTGCAATCGATTGGACAGCGTAATGCAATAAACCAGCAACAGCAACTGCAGCAACAGCGGCAGCAGCAGCAGCAGCGCCACAGGCAGCGACGCTTCTCATTGGAAGCCTGGCCGCAGCAGCAAACAGTTGATGATCAGTCTCAGCAGCATTTGAGTACATTTTTGAAGAATTTGCGCCAGCGCGAGCGTTGCCAGACATTGCCTGACCAGTGCTGCACAACGGATGCCATAAGCGTGCACATAACGCCAGTGCTGCGCGCCGCAACGGACATGTGTGATTATGCGAGGCAGTGTGGTGAAAATAGCAACAATAACATTGAGAGTAACAGCAGCAGCAGCAGCGATCGCAGCAGCAGCAGCACTAACAGCGCTTTAACAGCGGCAATCGATCAACGCAAGCTGTACGAAATTATCGATAACTTGAGCGAATTGAGCTTGCGCGATAACAGTCTGCCGCTCATTACGCTCACGGACTACACGCAACAGGTGGCGCTTTATGGCGCCAATTTGGATATTGCCGGCGATTGTTTAGTGCAAACACCCAACGAAACCGAACCACCAACATAATAGAACTGTAATACGCGACAGCAGCAGCGACAAAAACTGCAATTAATTGCCAACAACAAACAACAAAATAAAACAAAACAAAACAAACAAGCAGCAAAAATAGACAACAAAATAAACGCTGAACAAAGCAAAAACGCGCACGTCATCGGAAATCGTTCGTTTTGTTTTTTTTTTTTTGTGTTTTTTTATATGCAAACGGCAGGCAAACAACGACCAGAAGCAACAATAATCACAATAACAACAACAACAAAAACAACAACAGGCGGCAGCTCATAACGGCTGAAACAAAATATAAAACGGCTTTTGAGCCAAACTATTGCGTATTTGGCGAGGCGCTCGAACAATGGTTGCGGCTGCTGCCGACGTTCAAATAACAGCAATAACAACAACAGCAGCAGCAACAACAACAACAACAGCAGCTATTAGCGACGCAGCGCTGCCAGCGCCAGCAGCGACGACGACGACGACGTCAGCGAACGCCAATAGCAGCGGCAGCAGCGTTCAATTTGCAGCATTAGCGGCGGCAAGTGCCAGCGATACACAAGCGGCGACCTCCAATTCAAATAATAACAACAACAGCAGCAGCAGCAGCAAAAAGCATATTGATAAGCGCGACAGCAGCAGCAACAGCAACAACAACAACAACGACAACATGTCTGATGCAAGCGACGCCGATGCCGCCAAAGCAACAGGCACAACAGCAACAACAACAACAACAACAACAACAACAACAACAACAACAACAACAACACCAACAACAACAGTAACAGTAACTGTAACAGCAGCAGAAGCAGCAGCAGCAGCAGCAGCGGCAGCAGCCTCTGCTGCAGCCGCGCCCACCAAAAGCGCCGTTAGCCAGCGCAATGTGGACATCAAAATCGAGAAATGCAGCAACATGGAGGCGGCCACACAGCAGCTGACCAAAAAGGTTCTAAAACTCGATTTGGGCGGCAAGAATCTGGATGAGTATTCGCTCAAGTCGCCAAAATCGCCCATCGCGGGTAAGTTTCAAGAATATATGTGTATACATACATACATATACATATACGTACATGTGTATGTAAGTCTATACAAATATGTGTGTGTGTGTGTGTGTGTGTGTGTGTGTGCATATTGAACAAACCCCGCTCCTAAGCCCCAGCTATGTTCAAGGTAAACGCAAACAAGCCAGCGCCTATAAAGAAGAAAATTAGAAAAAAACACAACAACAACAACAACACACACACACAAGTAGGCGTGCCTAGATCAGAGAGCGTGCCCGACTAGGAGATACCCTGAGCACAGTAACAAGCTGCGAACATTCTAGCATGCATAAAATACAAACACACAGACACAGACACATACACACACGCCCTCATGCTGCGCACTTTACGCAGCGACTTCACACACACACACACACACACACACACACTTTGCATGGAAAATGCAGTATTGATTAACTTCGGTGTTTATTGTCCGATCTTTATGAAACTTTCAATGCTTGAATATGGCTGGCATTCGCAAGGATCGATCTTTAAATTAGTGTAGTCTTTCAACTTTTAAGGGTAGAGGACGAGCTCTTTAAAAAGTTATCGTTTCAAAATCGATATTAATCGATATTTAAAAAACTCAACTCGCTCTGTATATTTTATACATTTCCTAATTTTGAGAAAGGTATCTAAATAGTTAAATATATTGATGCACTATGAGAAACTTTAAAATTGCCGGATCGTGCTCAAAAAACCTTGCCTCAATAATCGATATTTATCGATATTCCAAAAAAAATATCAACTGGCTCTACATATTGTATATACACCCCAATTTCGCAAAAGGGTATCTAAAAAGTGGAATTTATCTGTGTACACAATACAGGAACCTTGATACCATAATCCGTCCATTTAAGTGCGTGATTTTACGATTATTTATCGATATAAATCGATATTATCACAAGATCCGCTCATCTAATTGTCCTGATCAAATATATCTCTATGTAATCGGAGATGTTTCCTTCCGCCTGTTACTTACATTTGCACAAAAACATGACACCCTTTTTGGCACATTTTCAATGGGCTCAGGGTATAATTATAAATACGCACATGAGCAAAAGTACAGTAGAACAAATGCCACGACGATCGCAGGAACTAAACAATATGTTGTCTACTTTGTTTTCCCATTTTGAACCTTTGACTTTTACGTGTGTTTTATCACTAAACAAATAAAATAGATTTTTATGCGTTGCTTCGCTAGTCAAATATTTGTGTTAAATGTGACAACAGCGCTGGCTAATTTTTTTGGCCGCCAGCCTAAAGCACGTTAACTCTTCCACGAAACTTGGAAATTTCAGCAAAGTTGACTTTTGCAGAGCCGTAAACACAAAGCACGCACCGAATCGGTTCGGTTTTGAAAGCGCAACAAGTCGGAGACTCACTTTGTGGGTGTCCCTTGTAAAGTTCATGTTAAATTTACGTTTGACAATTTTATTGTGCAAGGATTAGATGGCTGTGCATGATTGCTGGACAGTAAGGTGGCAAGTCTGCTTTTAGATCGGCCAAAGCTACAATCACAACTAATTTGAGCTAATTTGATCAGATGCTTTGCCATTTAATAAATGGAAATTGGCTACAATGAGTTTATCCACCTGTTAAATATGTATAAAATGTGAGGACAGCGCTGCCACCTATTTAAACTAAACTAGCAATAACCATTTGAACTCAACTAACCCAATGTGACATTTTATATTGATGGACAACATATTATCGATAACTAAGCGATAAGTGTTTAACAGCATGTCATCGATAACTAAACGACAAGTGTTTAACAGCATGTTATCGATAACTAAACGATTAGTGTTTAACAGCATGTTATCGATAGCTAAACGATAAGTGTTTAGCAACATGTTATCGATAGCTAAACGATAAGTGTTTAACAACATGTTATCGATAATTAAACGCTAAGTGTTTATCGATAACGAAAGATAAGTGCTTAACAGCATGTTATCGATAATTAAACGATAAGTGTTGAACAGCATATTATCGATAGCTAAACGATAAGTGTTTAACAGCATGTTATCGATAACTAAACGATATATAACGATCGATAATTAAACGATAAGTGTTGAACAGCATGTTATCGATAACTAAACGATAAATATCGATTGTCAGAGCAGGTTTTTAGGAAAATTTTGCTACAGATATGAAGAGCTTAGTTTTCGAATTGGCAGCGTTAATACGCGGACTGAAGAAAAGGGCAAATACAGAGCGAGGTGCGGCATGTTTGAGGCAGGCTTCGTTTCCGTTTTTGCGTGTCTTCACTGTAGTTTACACAATGTTTTGTATGTACATATATTGTATGCCTTTCGCTCGGGGGGCTCAAATGTCATGTGGCTTGAATTGATTTTTCCATGAAAACTGATCTAAAAAACACGCACACACACACGCACACACACGCACACTCAGCTGATATTTCCCTGAAGCGGCGGCTGGCCACAAGCCGCATGCGAGAAAATTAATCTGCGAAACATTTGAAGGCAGAAATTTCGACTTGGGGCTTTTAATTTTTTATTTTTTTTCAATTTTTTAATTCATTTTAACGATTGCCTTGCCTTATCGCATGTGTGTGTGTGTGTGTGTGTGTGTGTGTGTGTGTGTGTGTGTGTGTGTTGTTGCGTTTATTTAGAGTGTGTATTTTTTATTATTATTAATTAATGGTGTATTCATTCGCAGCACGTTTGCCGCATCAAACATCATTGACGTCATCGGTGGACGTTGAAGATCGAAAGACATTACGAGAGGCCTTATATCAGGGTATATTCCATCGACATCGGCGCACCATATTCGCCGTGGGCAGCTTTCTACGGATGCTGCGCAGCCGGAATTCGCAATACAATACCATACGCAGCTCGTCGGAGGGTGAGGATATCGATGAGGTTAGATAAGAATATATCCAATATCCGGTTGCCTAACTATCATGCTAAATGTGTAGTGTATTGGCCAGAGACAGCACTCGAAAACAGCAGCAGCAGCAGCAACAACAACAACTAAAACAACAACAACAACAACAACAACATCATGAATACATCAACAACAATAAACAAGAACAACAACGACAATCTGGGTTATCATATGGAACATGTTTTAGATGGAACGTAGCGCAGCCAGTCGCAGCACTTGTCGTTGGTTGCATTCATTCTCTATTTTCTTTTTTCATTTAATCATATTTTTCTCTTTTTTTTTTTTAATAATCTCTTGCAATTGTTATCAGTTTTTTGAACTTGGCATGATATTTGGGCATTGACATAGTTATGCTGGATCCATTGATGCAGGCCGCGTCTTGTTCTCCTCTTTTTTTAAGCATAATCTAGTATATAAACACACATATATATATATATATAGAGCGTATAGCTTCTAGTTTTTAGTGTATATGTAGATTCATTTTAATCATGGCTTGTATCTATTTGTATCTATTATATGCGGGTCTGCAGAGCCGCAAAAAACTTGCTGCTGGTTCACGCTTCACGGTTCAGAGTTCACGCGTGGAACCAGTCGCAACGCGGCGCCTGGCTTTGGTTCACGCGTGGAACCAGTCGCAACAAAGAACTTCGAATCCGGTTCAAAATTTCAATTTTCAACAAATTTGATTATTTTTAAATTGATTTGCTTTTTGCATAGTTTAGGAACTTTAAAAATGGTTTCAAAATTATTTCTCTATAAATACTAATATTAAGCTGGTCCGGCTCATGTTTCATGTTAGCTTTCTTATATTTATATATATAAATAATTGTCGAAAGACATATGAGCAGGTTGTTTGTTTGATTCTTGCTCTTGCTCTCGCGTACCTAAAACTTGTTGAGAATTACAAGTGAATTTGTTGTTGTCCATAACTTGTACTTGTTACCATATTATACACGGAGCTCAGGCCGGCCAGCTTAATATCAGTATATGCAAACATATATATAAGTTTTTTTCAGACTTTAGATTTATCTTGAAATTGAACGAGGGGCTCGAAGCTTTGCGGCTCGCAGTCTCGAATGTATCATTTATGGCTATGCTAAAAGAAAATGAAGTTTTATAAGAAATCGCTTTTCCACACACACACACACACACACAAGTTCATTTATGATCAAGTTAAGCTTAACTTATATACAAGAAAGAAAACGAAAAAGAAAAAATAGTTGAATTCCAAACAGCAAAGCCCCAAAACAAAGCAACCATAAGACTAGCCAGAGACTTGACTAAAGTCACTTTAGTTGCACTTAATTATTATTTAGTTGTTGTTTTTTTGGTACATTTATTTGATATTTAATGCATTCCGAGAACATTTTCAACAACAACAAAAGAAAACTGAGCTAAAAACATTCCCTCAGCTCTGGACACAGTTTGTCTCAGTCTGCTCCTTTGCCTTTTCCCTTTCTGCAAGCAAACGGATCTGAAAGACGCCTTATATTAAAACAAAATAATAATAATAATAATAATGAATAAAAAAACAAATAAATGAAAAACTCTATGATATAAAAACAAAGTAAATGTAGTATTTAAAGCCGTTTTTGTGAACCTAAGCTAGAAAAAAAATGCATTAATATCCATGCATGTTATAATGTAATACTGTAATACTGTCAAACTGTTATACTATACAACTGTAATACTGTTTAACTGTAACTGTAACTCTAACTGTAAAACTGTGTACAACTGCGCCTCGTTAACTCGATAACAATTCGATTGTCGATCGATAAATTTGTTCTGAAACTTGCAGAGAGCTTGTTCGTAGGCGGTTTTTTTTGGAAAGTGTCTGTTTTTCGACTTAATTTTCTCTTAAACAAAATCTCATATATTATAACAGACATTTTTGTTAAGCATCTTCTGTTAGCCTTGTTCTAGAATGTATTCATAGTATATATTGTAACGCTTAGGCCCATTTAATTACTTCTTTTTTTTTTTGGTACAGTCAGCACAAATAACGCAATAGCCTAGATCCGATTAGTATAACATATATTAGTCATATATGTTAAGTTTTTGAACTCTGATTTTTACACATAAACCAGACCAAAATCAATAAGAACAAGTTTCCGTAAGCCTTATACAATATATATATATGTATATATGTATATATATATATAGCCAAATTTGGTTGGACCAATATACAAAATAGATAAATATAGAATCCATAGAAATTTTTGTGTTATTGTGTGGTAAAGTTGAAATATTTTTTATATAAAGTACCATTCAGAAACCTGATCGATATAGGACTAGTAGAAGAATATATATATATATATATATAGAGGTTATATGCAGAATTGATTGCTAGATTTGGGCTTAAGATCGGTTTGTCTGGGAGTTAGGCTCTCTGCAAGTGCCAGCCAGATGTTAGCTTCGTTATAATTGATTCATTTCCAAACCATGTTTTTATTTGAGAATATTGTTAAAGTCGGTTTTCATTGCTAAGGGAACAAAATAAATATATATAATATTGTAAAGCCGCACAAGAACCTATATATATATGCATATAGCTCGATATATAAATGCCTAGTTATAGTCCCAACACACGCAGTAAACTAATGTGTATACCTCTTGATTTGCAGTAAACAGGCTACACACGCGTATAAGTATGTTTGTACACATGATATGATATATATATATATATATATATGTATATGTATATATATATATATACATATATGTATTTTAGAGCATTTTTGTTTAGTGCTAGAGAAAACTAATGTTTAAAGAGATTTTGTACAGCGATATACCCTGAGTGTATACCCTATGGAAAAAAAAGAAAAACACATTCATGAAATAACAGCAAAAAAAAAAAAATGAAGAAACTGTTGGAAATTGTTTGATAGTTAAAATTTCATATGCTATAAAGTATACATTTCATTATTACTACATGATTAAGTTTTTTTTTTTTTCCAAATAAAAAACCAAAAGAATTTCCAGTTAATGCAAATTGTATATTTTTTTTGCAGTTTCTCAAGGCGCGTAAAGTTTTCAAATTGCCGCATCTGTTCGGTCGCTGATGGCAAATCCTCGCAGTTTCCGATGTTTCTAAACTAAATATGCATTATGTACTATAACTGGAATCGGAATAAAAGCAAACAAAGACAACATACACGGTCGCCACCAAGTCGCGTTTGGCAGCGTGAAAGCGGGCAGCACGGGCATCGCGAATGGGTTACCAGCTGCTCCTGGGCTGTTCACTTGGCCCAGCGCAGTCAGGAACTGGAAGAGTTAGAGTTGGGATTGATAATAATTAGAATGTCACGAAATGTGCCTAAAGGATTACGGATTTGGATAGGAGAACCTCTACATATAGATATAATATAGATCGGAAAGATTTTGTAATACTTTAAGAGTAGCAAATATTTATGATATATCTATTTAACCTCAGGCTAGATTCATATTGTTACTAGCCAGGTTTCTTCTTCTTCAGTGGCCAAAGAAACTGAATCAATTAGGCAGTTCATCTACCGAGACTTCTGCTAGTTTTGGTTACTTTATCAAGTAGCTGTTTTAGAAAGTCTTAACTACTTTTCTTACAAAGTTATATAGAACAATTTGAAAGATTTGTAAAAAACAAAAAAACCAGATGTAAATAAGTTTATTAGATTAAGTTCATTGCAAAGTTGCTGCTAGAGATTCCTCGGTGCTGCCAGATGTGCACAGCATGGTCAGGTGGCAGCACTGCAATGCTAACTTCCTGCCAAATACTTAACACCTTGATTAACTGCCTTGCAAGTAGCACGTAGTCGATGCTTGTTAACTTTGACATGCGGATGCAAGAAATTGAAGCTTGCTTTTCCTTTTAACCACTGTTGCTGCTGGCACCTGGCAGTACTCACCTGCTGCGGACTGGCGGCCACCACGTAGGTGCCCTCGTTGACGGCCTTTTGTATGGTGGCACGTATGTCGGCCGTTTCCTGTAGCTTCTGCGGCGTCACGCTCACCCGTGCCGCCTGTGAGGAGGGCAGCAAATCGGGCCGCATTAGCCACAAGGGCTGCACCACCTGGCGACGCGGCCTGGCCGCTGGCACGGCCCAGACGTGGCCGAGACAAATGCCAATGCAGATGCAGCTCCAGATGATGGCACGCCCATGCATGTTGCGTTAAGCTGCAGACGTGACGGTTCACTGGTTGAGCCAAAGCTAGTTGAAGCTGTCGCAGCTCAAAACCGAAAAAGAATTCATCGCAATTTGATGAGGAAGTACACAATTCTGGCTTGTATTTCAATGATGGCAGTTGTTGCACGCGAAAACGTGCCGCATTTTGGACATAGACAAATGGACAAAACACACACAATGGGATGGGCGGGGAGAGGCGGTGCAGGTGGACGGGGAGACACATTGATTTGAACATACATAGTTTAGTATACATTTGAACTTAGCTTAAGAACAGTGTGTGTGTGAGCGAGTGAGCATATTATTGGCCTCTCTTTCATATTTGCGCATTGGCCTGCTCGGCTGGGTCGGATGACTCGGCCGGCTCGTCTTTGATATGCACATCGTCATCTTCCTGGTCCTCCTTGCTGTTCTCATGCAGCAGCACATATTCGCGCGAGCTAAAGCCAAACTTGATGACATCCTTCTCCATCAGTTCATAGTATTTGCGTCCATCGATTTTCTTGTTGTTGAGAAACGTGCCGTTCGCCGACTCCAAATCGATTAGATATAAACGCACCCGTTTGCCCTGGCTGCCGTCATCGCGTGCGAAGGGCACCAGACGGTATTGGAGTGCTGCGTGCTGCTTGGAGCAACTGGGATGATCGACCGCCAGGTCGACCACTTTGCGATCGCGTCCAACCAGAAAACAGCTCTGTCGATGTATGTGCAGCGTCGGCAGCGCCGTCTCACCCTTGAAGGGATACAGACGCCAGCGGCGTTTGGGCTTGCGCGCCTCCGGTGGCTCCGAGTATTTGACAACAACGCCGTTCACTTTGTTGGTGTCCTCGGTAAGGGCACCACTCAGTCCAAAATTGGGTTTCTCCTTGTCGAGCGGCTCATCGTCATTGGACGCCGGCGGCTTGTCCTTGTCATTTGGCTTGCCCCACTCAAAGTGCTCCTCGTCCCGGTTGCGATGGTCATTGCGACGCTGCTGCTGGTGACGACGTGGTCCGCCGCCGCCTCTGTAGGAACGTTCCCGTGGACTGCGGCTGTGGCTTCTGCTGCGCCTGCATGGGACATAAATGTTAAGGTGTTAAGGTGTCAAGGTGTCGCACTCTCAAGTTTTTCGCTTACCGATGTGAATCGACGGGCGAACGACGTGGTCGCTCCCGACGCTCGTTGCTGCGCATACGCTGCTGCTGCTGCTGCTGCTGATGCTGGCGGCGATCCTTGCCGCGCTCTAGATCTCTATCGCGTTCACGTTCCCTTTCGCGTCCGCGACGCACTTGATTGTCACGTTCACGTTCACGATCCCGCTCCCTGTCTCTGTCCCTCTCGCGTTCCCGCTCCCGCTCTCGCTCTCGCTCACGTTCGCGACTGCGGCTTCTTTTGCGGGCTTTGTTTGTGTTTTTGCCGGAACCGTGTCGCTGGTTGGCGCCGCTGCGTTCAGGACTGTCCCATTTGGAGCGCTGTTCTTGCACTTTGCTCTCCACGGTTGCAGGCTCCCGTTGCTGCTGCTGTGCTCTTTCTCGTTTGGGCGTTGCGTCTTTGACAGCTTTCGTCTTTTTGGCGCGTTTGTTGTCACCGACGGACTTGGAAGCCTCGCTGCTGTCGCTGCTGCGACTATTGCTGCTGCTGCTACTGCTGCTGCTGCTGTCGCTGCCGCTGGAGGAGGAGCTGGAGCTGGAGCTATCGCGTGCTATTTTTCGCTTGCGCGTTTTGCTCGATTTGCGATTTACGGCTTCTGAATGCCTATTGATTGTCTTTGATTTAGCTAACTTCGATTTGGTGTCGTCATCGCTGCTTTGGGCCGCCATATCATTGTCGCTGCGCATGGCGCGCTCCTTGCTGCGCGCTTTGGCAACTTTCACCATATTTCACTTGAAATTATTAAAATATATGCGGCTTGATAAATCGAAAACACAACACCTTTAAAATTATGCTAGTGATGACGAATTGACTGATAAGCGGCATTGGCGTCAACAGCTGTTTGCCAATCGATACCCAGCACTGTATCGATACTTATTTCAAGACAATTTAAAATGATATCTTCAGCTTGTTAAGCTTTAAATATGCAATATGTTTATCAATACTGTTCAACTATAATCACTTTGGTATATTTAGCTCGCTATTTGAGAAATTCCTTCACATCGATAAAATAAAAGGACTCAACACTGATAGCGCTAAAATATATTCGATACTATCGATATTCTAAGCTTAAACCGCGCCATGCCCATCACAAAGCGCTGTGCCTGTGCTGCCGCTGCAGCTGCGTTTAACACATAATTTCGTGCAAGGTTGCGAATTTTTATTTTAAGTATTTGTTTTTGTGATAGTGTTGCAGTGCCAGCGCCATGTTAACGTTATTGTTGTGCATGTAATAAACCGAATCTTGAAGAAAACGCCCAGCAGCTGCAGCAGTAGTCAAAAAGTAAATCAAATAAAACAAAATCCGGATTTAAACAAACTGCAAACTGCATTTGGACGGCGTTTTCGGCATTCACAATGACACCATTTGATGATTTCGTCTACTTAATAAATCACGTGCTGCTTGGCGAAGAGCCGGTAAGTAGGAACACACACACAGTGTTGCCAGACAACACTAAACGAATTTATAATTGATTTTCATCTTCTATGCTCTAATCAGACCATCGAGGATTTCATATTGCTTGTGGGTACACTGGTGGCCTTCATAGCGTTCATACTCTGGTGTTGTTTTCCCATACAGCCAAAGGTAGGTAAAAACATACGCAAACGCAAATACTGACACACACACACGCACACACAACACACACAAGCACACACACCCACACACAAACAAGTATGTATGCATATGTATGTAGGGTATATGGGGGCCAGTTACTAATTTGATTTTGATTTTTTTTGGTTTTTGCATAGGAACCGGGCCAGCATCGTCAATTTACGTGTAAAATCATACAGAATCACATCAAGGCATTCGATGCGGCCACCAGTAATGACAATGGCACTGCTACTGCGACTGCGACTGCAACAGCAAGCAGCAGTAACGGGATTAATGGCAGCGCCAGCTTCTTAAATGGCGCCGGCAACGCAAGCACACAATACAATGGCGGCGGCGGCAGTTACAGCAAAAACGGCACCGTTGCCATGCACAACTATTACGTTAAGAACGGACACCACTGTTGCACCTAATTGAGCGTGTGGCCCAATGAAATATGGAACTTAACCAGGCCCAAGGCACTGGCAACAAAGCTTCGACCAAGTCAAAAACAAAATTTTCAAATTTGTTAGCCAATTCTGATTTCAAATGATTCAACTTGCGTTTGTTCCTTTCTCCTACTCTCTCTCCTTTCCTCAGTGTTCTATAAATGTGTGTAGAAATTGTGCCAATTGGTTGTTCAAAACGCAGCTAAAAGCTATAAAAAGCGTACTGAACGTTGCCCCCCATTCCCCCCGGGCAAAGAAAAGCCCCCCCCCCCCCTCCCCTGCTCTACACTGTTTAAACATGTTGTTTGTATATGTAATTCGCAGGCACATTTGAATTGTAATTGCTCAGACTGATTTGTTCATGGGTTCAAAATGCATTTTATGCATTTCCCAGCCCGTGACGGCAAAGAAAACCACGAAATGTTAGGCGCAAGTTTTTAAAACTTCTCTTATTTAGTACGCATTTTATTGCATTCGAATACCAAAATGACACACACGAGCATGTTAAGAAAACAGACGAACAAAAAAAGACAAAAGGAAACCAAGCAACTATTTATAAGTATTTATTATGATGAACAACAAGAACTAATTGCATATTTATACGCATGTTAATATTACAACAATCGCTTACGATCCCCAGACAATTTGCTCGCATAAAGCGCAAAAACTAAACAAAAAAAAATAAGAAAGAACAATTATCAAGTGGAACAATTATTTGTGGAAGGCGAGCAGCTACAGTGCTGGCTATTTGATTAGCAACATTTATGGATTATCTGTTTTATGTCTGTAAGATATACTCACACACACACACACACACACACACACACACATTATACAAATTGACTAGCATAGTTAAAAATTGATGTTTGAATAAGTTGTCATACAAACTGTTTGGTATTTCATTTCTCTCAGTGTATACACCTAAGATACTTATATATATGTATGTATTTGTATGTTTGATCTCATTTAGCAACTTATTTATGTGATGAAACTTTAATGAATTTCTCCAATCCGAAGGGTTATTAAACAAAAACAACAACAAAGCAAGCACAAAACGGCGTTTCCCATTTGGTTTATCAGTGCGCAGTGCTAAGCACAGTGTGCGACATAAGTATGTACACACTGTGCACACACTAATCAGCAAATCACACAGGCCACTTGAGAGTCGAGCAACGGGACACTTGAGTAGTTTTCGTTTTTGTTTGTTTTTTGTTTTTAATTTATTTTATTATTATTTGTTTCTCTCCTTGCTATTTGCTATCTGAGCAAAATCGTTAAAAATCACAATTGTTAATATTTGTCGTTAAATGTATTTATAAATTAATAACAAACGGTATTTGTGTAGATGTTTAGATGTACAGTAACGGTAACGGTAATGGTAACGGTAACAATAGAGTCCACACATTATGGAATATCAACAGTGATAATACACGGGCACACTATCAATACCCTGTGCACATAATTAAGGAAAGTCTGGCCGGTGGCCATAAATATCGCAGGGCACTTACGTAATCGTACTTGTAGTTAGTTATAGTCAGTAAATATATATATATATATATGCACAATGATTGACGTATATAAATACATATAACATTTGGTTTCTAAGTGGTAATTCGCTTGAAGTTTGTTTAGCTACAGTAGAATGTCGCGCTTTGGTACCAGTTTTAAATTTGTGACGTTTGCAGAGCCTTTGGGGTAGGGTTTTATAAATAGTGTACAACAGGATAGTTAGTTACCATCGATTATTTATACCTAAACAGTAGACAGTCTTAAGGAGTACCTAAGCTAGACAAGCAAAAAAAAAAAACAAAAAAGTAATTGTATAATAAGAACGTATGACATTAATTGAGCTTGATATTTTAGGTTAGGTTGAAGTAGAGTAAGTTTTTGTGTAAATCTCCGTCGTCGTTGTTCGTTTTCTCTTAGGTGGCAACCCTAAAATAATACGTTTGCTTGACATTTAAGCCAAATTTGATAGCCTGAATTAGTATTTGGTTCATCATATAAACTCGCACTGAGAGCAATACCCAACATTTTTGGCAACCAATGTCATAAGCCCCATTATCGCGATATGTATATACATATTAAAACTAACGCAACTCCAAGATCTCGCATGTACACATAAATATTTAACAATTAGAACGGAAAAGCTTAACCGAATCCACGTCTGGCAGCGTGCTGCTCTGGTGCCAGCCAGAAGCTCGATGGCATACAACTTTAACACGAATACCGAATATCGAACTGGAATTGGAACTCGAACTGGAACTGGAGCTCGTGTTGTGGTTATTAGCTGCTGCAGTCCATGGGAAAGAACACGTTCATCTCGATCAGGATCTGCAGCACAATAAATACCGTATAGACGCTGAACAGGGCAATGCCCACGCGCTTGGTTAAACGATATCCGCTGCAGCTGAGCACGATGAATAGGGCGATGGTGCAGAAGATCAGGATCAATATATTGTACTCGATGCCCTGGGTGCCCACCTGCTGTTTCTCGCCGGTGCCATAGTTGATGCAGTTCTTTACGAACCAGGGCACGCCCAGGGACAACAGGATCGCCAATGAATTGGCGCCCAGCGAATTCGAAACGCCAATGCCATTCTCGCCTAGAAATCCACGAGATTAGTAGTACCAAATGTGGGCGACTCTAGAATCAATTTGCTTACCATTTCGCAGCGATATAAGGCTGGAAACCGCCTCAGGCATTGTGGAGCCGGCGGCCAGAAAGGTGAGACCCATCACAATAGTGGGCACACGTATGGCCACACCGAAAGCCGTCAACATCCAGACAATCAGATAGGCATTGAGGCCAATGCAAATGATGCACATGATAAAGGACAACGGATACAATCTGCGATGCCGCATGGGATGTGGAATCACCATGCGCAGAACTAGCTTAATCGGGAACGTAAAGACCCACCAGCATTTCATGAAGGTTGTGGCGCCGTGTGGAAAGGCGAAAATGCTTCTCGGCAGCTGATCGTCATCGTCATCCTCGCCGTTCCCTGGGGAGACACGAAAAAAAAGAGAAACAAAATGAATGTGTTGTAAAGCGCATTAAAAAGGGAAGCGATAACAAGCGATAACGATAGCAATTATCGAGATCTCTATAAGCTCGCATTACAACTGTCAAGATAGCAGCTCTTTTTTTCTGGCAGCGGAACCAGTAAAACCATTTGGAGCTGAACTTTTTGAATTTCCTGAAATAAGCTTTAGAATTCACACTTACAATTCTTGGAGTGCGTCAAATTGGCCGTAGACGACATGGATGAGGTATTCTCCGGAAAATTGACCACAAACAGCCCGTCGCCGGACAGAGGATCCTTTTTCAGCGGCAGCTGCGCCTTGGCACTGTTCTCAGGTGGTTCCGTGAGATCTATTGGAAGGATGCAAATGTTCCTCAACTGATTCCCCGGGTAATCGTAGAGTCGGGTGTACTTACCGTAACGCGTGGAGAAGCAACAGTTCATGCGATCCTCGATAAAGACGCGTATGGCAGGCATAAACTTGTTGTTGTTGAATGTGATCAGATAGTAGAGCACCAGGAAGCCCATCATGACGCACGATTCCACAAAGCTGATGCTGCCGCCCCAGGCGAGCACCAGCAAAACGATCGTGTTGAAGATGTAGATGAAGCAATCCCTGGCTATGGGCCACCAGTCCAGCTGCACTGGCTGCAATCCAATCAATTGATACAGTAAGTACACGCTAAAACGGCTGCCCAGCAATATTTACCTTGTTGATGGCCAGGGCGGCAAGTCCGGCGACGCCAAGTGTGTTGAACATCAGCGAGCCAATTATGGTGCCCAGTCCCATGTCCGACTCCAGAATGAGTGTACTTATCGTGTTCGTAAAGAACTCGGGCATCGAGGTGGCCGTGGCCATAAACGTGGCTGCCGCCACATCCTTGGACAGATGCAGATCCTCACAGATGCACTCGACGGTGGGCAGAAAGTAGTCATTGCATATGATGGCCAGCAATATGAAGAAATAGATCGCGGCGAATACGTGCAGCACGACCCAGCCCTGACGCAGCTGCTCCACTGTGTTCGGACAAGAGAATATTACAATTCAATTGGGATTTCACTTCTTTTGTTTTGTTTAACTTTTAAATGGATTTTGGGAAGGTGCATAGCAAATTTGCAGAGCGTAATCCCAATGGAGCCCGAGTTTTAGATAGCTAGGCGAGGCTTGGCCAAATTCGGGCAAATTTCAGACCCAAGTTTCTATTGTATAACTATTCAAGATTGAGATGTGGAGATAAAGAAGGGCAGAACAAGATACCCCACTAACACAGTTACAGGGCATAAAGATTCTATTGGCATATCATGCAGATACGTAGATTTTTTGTTTTGCCGAGTTTGACGCTCGAAGTATGCGTATCTGTCATGTTCCAAGTATTGTAGTTTAATTAAAGGTTTTTCACGACTTGGCCGCGATAAGGCGCACGATTTGAAGAGCAGCAAAGAGATATAGTATATATACATATATATATATATATATATAGTGTATATACGCGGATATGTGTGTACATAGAAGATACCGAGTCGAGAGCACGGACTCGACCCGTTGCGCTGTGGAAATAGACAATCTGGCGGACTGAGGTGGCGTAGGAAGGGGGGGGGGGGGGGGGGGGGGGGGGCTGTTCGGTTTCTGGTTTCTGGTTCATATGCGAGAAGCTCCCAGTGTAAACACATTTGCGGCGACTGATTTATTGGCCCATTGAGTTTCATTTTTGCCGCTTATCGGCGCACTTGTATTGACCCTGGCCCAGTGATAAGTGATAAGACCGGACCCAGCAGGAAGACCATTGACCAATGCCACATGGTCAGCAAGTTCAAGACAATGACAATCTAACTCCCAAATCCGAAGGCTTCTCGAGCGGCACAGCCCGTTTCGTTATCGGACCGAAACTAGTGCTAGCTGAGCTGGTTCTTTCAATTGGAGGAGCTCTTCGGTTGCCCAATGGATACGTATTTTACATACCTGTAAATATATCCGGAAATTCATCTAGTGGCGCATCCTGCTCCTGGCCAGGGCATGTGGCACGCGGCAGGATATCGTACAGCAGCTGCTCATCCAAATATCTGAGCGATGATTCCAGGAAGCTCGTTTCATTATTTGCTGTCAAACGAAGAGCAGAAGAATATTTATATTTTATTTATATAGAAATCATCTGTCTCTCTCTCTCTCTCTCTCTCTCTCTCTCTCTCTCTATCTATCTATATGTCTTTATATAGTATATGGGCGCCATAATATAGATAAAAGGCATTCAGTGGGCTAATGAAAACTCTGATAAGATTGAAGCTGCAACCCTGAAAATCATAAATGCACAATTTTTTAACTAACATGCAAATTGTCTGACACGCTGCAGTCATGCGTATGCGACTGGCAGATACCCTAGATCCCAGGGTTTCATCATTTCTGAGTTTATTTACATTTTTTTTTGGATGTAGCTTAAAGTAATGTAGCTATAAATAAATCATATTCCGTACTGGAATTACTTAAGAAAATCTTAAGTGTTTATTTAATAAACTTGTGTTGAATATGAAATACAATTTTCTTAAATTATGCATAGTTAATGTTACCATGGAAGAATCGTACTTAACAAAAATGTTGATTTACCACGTGCATTTCTGATTTGATTGAATGCCAATTGATGGCAGGGATCCGTACGAATACATCATCAAATAAGGTCATCTTTTGGAACGTCATATCTCCAAGCGGAGTTATGTCGTTTTGGAACGTCATATCTCCAAGCGGAGTTATGTCGTTTTGGAACGTCATATCTCCGCGCGGAGCTATGTCGTTTTGGAACGTCATATCTGGGTCAAATTTTTTATATTCATGTTTTTGATGCCAATCGATAATACTGATCCTTACAAGTCCAAAATGGCATAAAATTCCAAAATCGGGCATTATTTGGGCGAGATATTCCAAAAAAATCATCAAAAAGGGCTGACTTTACAAATGAATCGTTGTTGGGACCACAACTTTGTGTAACACATCGATCGTTGATTTGTTTGAACGCCATTTTATAGTAGGGATCCGTACGAATTCAAAATGGTATAACATTTGAAAATCAGCCCATATTTTCCCGAGATATTCAAAAAAAAACATCAAAAAAGTTTTGATTTTCGAACCTACCCCGATTTTGATAAAAAACGTGATGTAACCCCTTGCTTTTTTGGTCAATTTGGGTCAAAATTTAGATTTCTATCTTTTTGATACCACTCGATAATACTGATCCTTACGAGTCCAAAATGACATAAAATTCCAAAATCGGGCATTATTTGGCCGAGATATTCCAAAAAAATCATCAAATAGGGCTGACTTTACAAATGAATCGTTTTTGGGACCACAACTTTTTGTAACCCATCGATTTTTGATTTGTTTGAATGCCATATTATAGTAGGGATCCGTACGAATTCTAAATGGTATAACATTTGAAAATCAGCCCATATTTTCCCGAGATATTCAAAAAAAATCATCAAAAAAGTTTTGATTTTGATTTTTGACCCAGATATGACGTTCCAAAACGACATAACTCCGCTTGGAGATATGTCGTTTTAGAACGTCATATCTCCAAGCGGAGTTATGTCGTTTTTTACAAATGAATCGTTTTTGGGACCACAACTTTTTGTAACCCATCGATTTTTGATTTATTTGGATGCCATTTTATAGTAGGGATCCGTACGAATTTAAAATGGTATAACATTTGAAAATCAGCCCATATTTTCCCGAGATATTCAAAAAAAATCATCAAAAAAGTTTTGATTTTCGAACCTACCCCGATTTTGATAAAAAACGTGATGTAACCCCTTGCTTTTTTGGTCAATTTGGGTCAAATTTTTTATATTCATGTTTTTGATGCCAATCGATAATACTGATCCTTACAAGTCCAAAATGGCATAAAATTCCAAAATCGGGCATTATTTGGCCGAGATATTCCAAAAAAATCATCAAATAGGGCTGACTTTACAAATGAATCGTTTTTGGGACCACAACTTTTTGTAACCCATCGATTTTTGATTTGTTTGGATGCCATTTTATAGTAGGGATCCGTACGAATTTAAAATGGTATAACATTTGAAAATCAGCCCATATTTTCCCGAGATATTCAAAAAAAATCATCAAAAAAGTTTTGATTTTCGAACCTACCCCGATTTTGATAAAAAACGTGATGTAACCCCTTGCTTTTTTGGTCAATTTGGGTCAAATTTTTATATTCATGTTTTTGATGCCAATCGATAATACTGATCCTTACGAGTCCAAAATGACATAAAATTCCAAAATCGGGCATTATTTGGCCGAGATTTTCCAAAAAAATCATCAAATAAGGCTGACTTTACAAATGAATCGTTTTTGGGACCACACCTTTTTGTAACCCATCGATTTTTGATTTGTTTGGATGCCATTTTATAGTAGGGATCCGTACGAATTCAAAATGGTATAACATTGGAAAATCAGCCCATATTTTCACGAGATACTAAAAAAAAAACATCAAAAAAGTTTTGATTTTCGAACCTACCCCGATTTTGATAAAAAACGTGATGTAACCCCTTGCTTTTTTGGTCAATTTGGGTCAAAATTTAGATTTCTATCTTTTTGATACCACTCGATAATACTGATCCTTACGAGTCCAAAATGACATAAAATTCCAAAATCGGGCATTATTTGGCCGAGATATTCCAAAAAAATCATCAAGTAGGGCTGACTTTACAAATGAATCGTTTTTGGGACCACACCTTTTTGTAACCCATCGATTTATGATTTGTTTGAATGCCATTTTATAGTAGGGATCCGTACGAATTCAAAATGGTATAACAATTGAAAATCAGCCCATATTTTCCCGAGATATTCAAAAAAAATCATCAAAAAAGTTTTGATTTTGATTTCTGACCCAGATATGACGTTCCAAAACGACTCCGCTTGGAGATATGTCGTTTTGGAACGTCATATCTCCAAGCGGAGTTATGTCGTTTTTTACAAATGAATCGTTTTTGGGACCACACCTTTTTGTAACCCATCCATTTTTGATTTGTTTGAATGCCATTTTATAGTAGGGATCCGTCCGAATTCAAAAAGGTATACCATTTCAAAATCAGCCCATATTTTCCCGAGATATTCAAAAAAAATCATCAAAAAAGTTTTGATTTTGATTTCTGACCCAGATATGACGTTCCAAAACGACTCCGCTTGGAGATATGTCGTTTTGGAACGTCATATCTCCAAGCGGAGTTATGTCGTTTTTTACAAATGAATCGTTTTTGGGACCACACCTTTTTGTAACCCATCCATTTTTGATTTGTTTGAATGCCATTTTATAGTAGGGATCCGTCCGAATTCAAAAAGGTATAACATTTCAAAATCAGCTGATATTTCCCCGAGATATTCAAAAAAAATCATCAAAAAAGTTTTGATTTTGATTTCTGACCCAGATATGACGTTCCAAAACGACTCCGCTTGGAGATATGACGTTCCAAAACGACATATCTCCAAGCGGAGTTATGTCGTTTTTTACAAATGAATCGTTTTTGGGACCACACCTTTTTGTAACCCATCCATTTTTGATTTGTTTGAATGCCATTTTATAGTAGGGATCCGTCCGAATTCAAAAAGGTATAACATTTCAAAATCAGCTGATATTTCCCCGAGATATTCAAAAAAAATCATAAAAAATGTTTTGATTTTCGAACCTACCCCGATTTTGATAAAAAACGTGATGTAACCCCTTGCTTTTTTGGTCAATTTGGGTCAAATTTTTTATATTCATGTTTTTGATGCCAATCGATAATACTGATCCTTACAAGTCCAAAATGGCATAAAATTCCAAAATCGGGCATTATGTGGCCGAAATATTCCAAAAAAATCATCAAATAGGGCTGACTTTACAAATGAATCGTTTTTGGGATCACAACTTTTTGTAACCCATCGATTTTTGATTTGTTTGGATGCCATTTTATAGTAGTTTTATAACGTGATGTAACCCCTTTCTTTTTTGGTCAATTTGGGTCAAAATTTAGATTTCTATCTTTTTGATGCCACTCGATAATACTGATCCTTACGAGTCCAAAATGACATAAAATTCCAAAATCGGGCATTATTTGGCCGAGATATTCCAAAAAAATCAATAAGTAGGGCTGACTTTACAAATGAATCGTTTTTGGGACCACAACTTTTTGTAACCCAACGATTTTTGATTTGTTTGAATGCCATTTTATAGTAGGGATCCGTACGAATTCAAAATGGTATAACATTTGAAAATCAGCCCATATTTTCCCGAGATATTCAAAAAAAATCATCAAAAAAGTTTTGATTTTGATTTCTGACCCAGATATGACGTTCCAAAACGACATAACTCCGCTTGGATATATGTCGTTTTGGAACGTCATATCTCCAAGCGGAGTTATGTCGTTTTTTACAAATGAATCGTTTTTGGGACCACACCTTTTTGTAACCCATCGATTTTTGATTTGTTTGAATGCCATTTTATAGTAGGGATCCGTCCGAATTCAAAAAGGTATACCATTTCAAAATCAGCTGATATTTTCCCGAGATATTAAAAAAAATCATCAAAAATGTTTTGATTTTCGAACCTACCCCGATTTTGATAAAAAACGTGATGTAACCCCTTGCTTTTTTGGTCAATTTGGGTCAAATTTTAGATTTCTATCTTTTTGATGCCACTCGATAATACTGATCCTTACGAGTCCAAAATGACATAAAATTCCAAAATCGGGCATTATTTGGCCGAGATATTCCAAAAAAAATCATCAAATAGGGTTGACTTTACAAATGAATCGTTTTTGGGACCACAACTTTTTGTAACCCATCGATTTTTGATTTATTTGGATGCCATTTTATAGTAGGGATCCGTACGAATTTAAAATGGTATAACATTTGAAAATCAGCCCATATTTTCCCGAGATATTCAAAAAAAATCATCAAAAAAGTTTTGATTTTCGAACCTACCCCGATTTTGATAAAAAACGTGATGTAACCCCTTGCTTTTTTGGTCAATTTGGGTCAAATTTTTTATATTCATGTTTTTGATGCCAATCGATAATACTGATCCTTACAAGTCCAAAATGGCATAAAATTCCAAAATCGGGCATTATTTG